ATTGTTGCACAATAAACCCTAGGGCATCCTCTCTCCTGTTATCTCCTGAAGTACTAACTTCTAAACACTCAAAACTTACTACAGAAAGCTTGAAAGTTAGCAGAAACTGTTCTGACTTCTATTGAAGTGAATGGTTGTACAGAATAGAAATTTCGGGTTGTCACAGTAGTTATAGATCTCCATGGACAAAGTTGCTATTTAAGCATAAAAGCACCTACACCAAGAGGTTAGTTTGCTTACTTTAGAATAAGGAAAAATTTTATACATTTTTTATTTTGTATTACCATTTTTAGTTATCAATATTATTTTTCTTTCTTATCCGTGGTTTCCACAGGTTATAACCTAGTTTTTTAAATAAATAATATCCAAATGTCAATTTATGGTTTTTTCTATTTTTAAAATTAAAAAACTACATAATACTTTTACTCATATATGTAAAGTATTAAATGTAATAAATATAATAGTAAATTGCAATTAATATGTTTCTTCATTCCTAATTTCAAAATTTTATTTCAAAAAATACTTACTATTGAAATTTAAATATTTTTTTAATCAGCCCGTATAATATACGGGTCTTACACCTAGTTTTTATTAAATCGATGAATTTTATAAACCATCAATAATCTAGAAAATGAACCAAATAACTACAAAGAGATACCTATTTTGGTACGAAAAAAAACCAATTGATTCTGAATTTGACATTCTATGCGAACAAACCAATTAAAAAGAATACGAATTGATCCAATTTCATAATCGAGTTGAATGTGATTGGTGAACTTTTATATTAATAGTTATACATCCACAAACAAAAAATTGAAAATATAGGCAGAAGTTTTGTAACATACTCAATTAAATGCAAATCTTCATTTCACAACCTTCTTGAACTAGAAACAGTCGACAATTAACAGATAACGCTTGATCCCCATTTTTCGTGTTTAAGTCTTATATTTAAACCGTAAGACTTTTCTCAAATATATTCATCATGCGTTGCAACACACAACTTACTTTCTGCACATTTTGCACTTTTGGTTGTCCTTATATGTATATAGAGCTCGCTATAATACAAATTTTAACATCAAACTCCCGATATTGAAGAAATTGACATTAGAGATCATAGATATAATCATCGAAAACTGAATGACAATGAGCCTAGATGATGAACTGAACCAACCTATGTTGGAACGGAAGCAGAAGAAGACGGTGACACAAAAGGCTGTTCGGAAAACCTTCAAGATCACAGCTCATCTAGCCAACCTTCTTCCCACAGGCACTGTTCTCACATTCCAGATCCTTGCCCCAGTTTTCACCCATGAAGGCAAATGTCGGACCCAATTCAACCAGATTTTAACGTTGATCCTCCTTTTTCTTTGTGGAATCTCTTGCTTTGTGTTAAGATTTAGTGATAGCATTCGTGATAAGAATGGGAAGGTTTCCTATGGGTTAGCGACCCTGTCAGGTTTGTGGGTTATTGATGGATTGGCTAAGATTCCACGAGAGAATGCGAGTGAGTATAAGATCAGGTTTATTGATGTATTTCATGGGTTTTTGTCGTTGGTAGTTTTTGTGGCAGTAGCAGGCGTCGACAAGAATGTAGTCAACTGCTTCTATCCTAAACCATCAGAAGTGATGGAGGAGATTTTGTCGACATTACCAATTGGTGTCGGAGTGGTATGCAGCCTCTTGTTTGCTGCATTTCCTACAACTCGACATGGAATTGGCTTTCCACTCTCAAAAAAGTAGCAAGATTGCATTTGTTTATTACTATTATTCTTTTCAGCTTCATTATCTGTCAATGTTATAAAAACGTGAGCCATAGAACAACAAAATGATGTACTGACTTCTTGAAGCTTCTTTAGTTAATTATGATGGCGATTATATCTGATTACATGGCCATATCGCTCTTTTGTTATCGATATACTCAGACAATACTTGAAACAAATTAATTAGTTTTTTCATCTTTGCAATAAATTAATCTATGGAACAAATTACCTGATACAACAAACATGCACTTAGGAACAACCTTAGTCACGTTTCCAAGAGGAAATTAACGCACAACGACATAGAGTTTAGTAGAAGTAGATCTTAGAGTCCTTGAATGAACATCTTTTTAAGTACCATATTCGGTTTAATTTGTTGAAGAAAGAGAGATCAACTTCGTACAATGGTTGTACTATTGTCACAAAATATCTGCCTTCCCTCTAACACTACTAGAAAAGGGGCTATTTCCGACGGAAAAGTTTGGAAAGTAGTGTGTCAAAAATAAAGGTCAACAAAATTTTAGTATTCTTAACTTAGTCAAGCTTTAAGATATATATATATATATATATATATATATATATATATATATATATATAT